AGGAACCAGGACCAGAAGCGAAAGATGCAATTATTTAGAGCCACAAATATATTGAGATTTGCGTACGGTTTATAACAGAAGCAAGCAGCTGATCGTTAAAGCGCTTAAATCTCTTGTCAAGAAAGATCGTATTCTTAGGGGTCAAGTCCTAATTTCGTTGATGTGAGACACTTTCATGATTTTGACAGTAGCTTGGATGATTTGAGCATTCAAAGCAATGTGGCGTTTGTATTGATGTGCTCCGAAAGAAAGAATGCTAGATAATGTTGACTTTCAGAGAAGAAGCTGACTTTAGTATAGAGCACAATATTTTAGCTATCGCTTTGGTAGTGGAAAATGATGTAATAAGATTTTATTTGCAAAATTTCTAATCCTTTTTTTTATCATGCCTTCCAAAAAGGTGAAATTCTATGGAATGCAATGGGGTTGAAAAGTATACCCTCACACCATGACAGTCTTTCTAGTACATAAAAGATTATTATTAATTATTATCATCATAAATTATATATCATAACGTATATAACAAAAGAAGTAAGCAGGAATTATTCTTACAAGTGATAAACTAACTTGTATGCTATCTAATACAGAATCTCTAAAACATACAAATTATGCAATATAAAACAAATTTATTCAAATACTGAGCCAGTAAAAGGCAAAAATAGAGGCGAAAAGTGCTATTCAGTCGTAGTCAGGAGAAGACGGCTAAACCTACTTGTCTAGATCCACAGAGGGTTTAATTGCGGCCTGTCTTTTATAGCGGCAAAGAGATGAATGAGTCGAGCTAAGAAGTGTGGAAAAAGTCTGCGCTAAGATCTAATTTCATATTATGGCCTGAAGAATGTGGTTGGCTGTTATTTTATAGACGGCAATAGCTTTGGAAAGGGCCTATTCAGATCTATTTTCAGTTTTATCAGTACGAAAAGGAATCTACATAGCAGCCAAACCGGCGTGAAACAGCACAACACTGAATAAATTTATTCAACCTATTAGCTGAAAATCCAATGTTTTGTGATGTTTGCTTCTTGAATATCCTTGTGCACCTATCTAATGCTTATGTTTCACATAGAGAACTCAATTTATGGGACATAATCTACTGAAAATCATGTTTACTACTAGATTTTCGTGTTCAATGTGGAATTACTCCTAACATTAGAAAGCAGATTTTGCAGTATAATAAAATCTATAAAAACCTCGTCTTAACGAGAACATTGCCACACAGATCCGAGGTAATCAAAATGCGTTTTTTTTTCTGAACCATTCCTCTAAAAAACCTCTATAAGACGCTCACCAAGTTGTGCACCTATACGGTCACCGAATAAGGGTTTGATCAATTACCATACGCACAATTTCACTTTCATGTGAAAATTGTACTGTCTGAAGAACTTGATGTCGAGAAGTAATCATCCATTCAATTGTTTAACAAGCAACGTTTTGCAAACGGGACAATCGAGTCCAACGGGGATCTAGAAAAAAGCAAGAGCCAGTAGGGCCCACACCACTTTTTACAGTTTGCGCCAAGCGAGTAATTTCTTAAGAAAATAGGCATATATGCGTGCACAGATGTGAGGTCAGAAAACATTTTTCTTTTAAGTGCTTAAAAAATAAGCTTCAACTGTGGACTTTTTTTGGTCACGAAGTAATCTGCAGAATTTTGCTATTCATTGATGCTTATTGGATGTCTTTTAGTCCTAGTAAGGGAGCATTACCATTGCAAAATTTTTAAAATCTTGCTTCTTTTTCAATAGAATTTCTCGTAGGCTTTTTACCTGTCTGGTAGTCGAAGGCTTGCTCTCCGCGGAAGTTAGGGTCATAGGAAAAGTTACATTCGAAAAAAGTTGTATTACTTTCCTACCATTACCTAAAAAGAATCCTTACCAAATATTTCTTCTTTTGATTTCTTCGTTATGCCAATGCAGAAAAACTAAAAACGAAGAGTATGGTTTGAAATGAAGCGGTAATTACAGCTTTGCTTATTTTCCTAGAGACAAATGCGTGCCTTCCAAACTTTAGTAGTACGTGAAATTCTGTCAATAAAAAAATTTTATGTGACCATCTCCTGCTTATGGTTATGAACGTGTAATTACGTGTACTTACTATATGAAAAATAAATTAAAATCTAAACAATCTGAGATTTAGGCGGATACTATAATGATTATATTTGCTTATAATTACTTTTCGTAATGGATTATCATACAGGGTGTCCCAAAAAAATGTATCGAACGTTTGATCGTTAATATCTCTCTTCCCAAGAAGTCTTTTGCCTTGCTTCAAGTACCGTTTTGTAGAGCTGGCTTCAACTTAGATTTGCATTTTTTTAGAACGAATTACCCATTTCTCTTCGTTACCGTAGGATTACGGTAGAAACTTGAAACATATGGTGTCAATGTGGAAAAAGCTGCCGTTTCAAAATTTTTCAAAAAAATGTGAAAATTTGTGTAATAGGGTTTTTATGGACGCTTAGTTTAATACCCAACTATTCACGAGATTAGAAGCCTTCTAAACGGTGTAACCTCACTTTTTAGGAACATTGCAAAAATGGCCGCTACCTCTTACCTGGCATAACTCTTTAATGAAGCATCATGATAAGTTGGGAACTTTATAGTTATAATCAGCAACTCTAATTAGCCCAGTGTAAAAGTTTCGAGGCTCGTTTTTCTTTCTGAGGCAAAATATGGCCTTTCATTGCTTAAAACCCTCTTTGAAGTTTCTACCATAATCCCACTGTAACGAAAAGAAATGAGTGATTTATTCTATAACGCAACTCTAAGTTGAAGCCAGCTCTACAGATTGGTACCTGAAGCAAGGAAAAAGACTTTTTCAGAAGAGAGATATTAAGGATCAAGCGTTCGATACATTTTTTGGGACACCCTGTATACCGAAACTTCGTAAGTTTGCTCATCCATTATTACTCTTGTACACCAACTTTTAAACAACGTCAAGCACTCCGACGAATGAACAAGAATTCTGTTTAGACACAAAGTCGAAAACTTGCTGCATTATATGATTTCTGAATACAGTCTGCAGTTTGCGAGAAGGAAAAAGAATTTTTAGAAAGAATAGCTATTTGAATACGGAATAGAAGGCCTTAAGACCATAAACGTCTCTCTCGAAAAAACCCGAAATTAATTACCATTATTTGGCTGCTATCATATTAATGGCAAAAGATTCTAAAAACGGATTATCTTATATCCATCATTTTTAAAACATAAGGTGACTTCCCAACTCAAAGCACAGCATAGTAGCATACCGGGTTTAAATTACCCTAAATCAGTGCACATGCGATTACAAAATTGAAACACTCTATGCTTTAAGTATGCGGTTAACATGTGCCAAATTTTTTCATGAAAGAGCGGGATCAGAGTGGAACCTTTGGAAATAACCACAAAATCATCCTATAGTAAGCACTGATTTGGTATCTTGGTCAAGCGCACACGCAAGATAATGTTTTTGCGACGAAATCATGACGGACTTTTTTTGATATGGTCACTTTCTATGAAAGAAGCGAGGTCCAGGTTTTTCCCAATAATAAATAACTCTAACTCTTCTGTAATCTAATCTTTTGCTGAATTAGACTAAGTAGGTAATTTAATCTCTTTGTTGCGAAGACACTCCACCATTCATTTTACCCACTCGACAAGCGCTGGTAGAAACTCCAAGAACTTATTGCAGACAGCAAAAATCCGACAGACCCTCGGTTTTAACATTCTGCGATTTCTGGGTCTTTTGCTCAGCTGAACCTGATTATAGGCTTTGGACAGCGAAAAAGGACCAAATCAGGACGTTTTCGCATGGTCGATGGTTTGAATGGAAAGCACGACGATAATGTCACGAAAATGCGTATTTTTAAAGCACGGGCTGGTACGGGTAATGCTCGAGTTGATGGTGGTCCTGCGAAGAGTAGGTGGACGATGTGACCCTTGTCGCGTGCCCAAAAGGCTCGCACGCCGACTCAGATGCAGTTATCCAAACGAACAGGAGACCGAACTTTATGAGGACCGTGGAAAACCAGATTCTTTGTAACTTTGCAATTAAATTTGAGATTTGATTTTGTCTCTAAGAATAAAGCAATACATGTAAGGAGATAAAACTTGGTTAAAGTTCCATCTTCTTATATTAATCGATTTCGTTGAACACGAGGTTTCAAGCAAATCAACCTTTTTGCAAATGCATCGCAGTCTAGAAGCTAATTCATGTTGAACCTCGACTTCTTCTTTTCTATCTAAAGCTGTGACACGAAGGTGCGCGGCTTTAGTTAGAAAAAGGAAGGTGACACGGAGGTGCACAGTGTTCAATTGCCCAAGATTGCATAGCCACCAGAAAAAGCGCTAGCAATCCTAGGCAATTGCTCTCACAAAAGCGAGATTGTCCGTGAAAGCAAATTTATTGCAAATTAGTTCACTATCCTTCCATACGTATAGGGTGTCCCAAAAGTGCTCAGTCTTCGATCGCTGATATCTCTCGTAACAAAATCTTTCGCCGGTAGCATGTGTTCGTGTAAATTTTTCGGGACTTGATCCCTCTACCTTGCTCTCCTGCTATTTATCTTGACACGACTATTTTAGCCAGATCTTTATCATAATGCATTGGGAAGATGTAGCACCGATCACATGGGAGTGCCACGGGAGTCTAGAGCTATGGGTATGGTATCTCACAATGGAAACTATCGGAACATTTGATTAATCTGCATTCTGAAGAGCTGGCTCAAGATCCACAATATGAAGGCCAATCGCCCTTCATTACTGTAAGACAGTAGGAACCTCCAAGAGGTTACAAGCCAATTAAAGCCATATTTTCTGAATATAATGCAGCAATAGCTTATGACTTGTTTTGAAGTGGATATGTCTCTTATAGTATACTTTAACGACTATGAAGTTTTTAGTTTCTCAAAATTGCTATCAAGGAGACTTATGTTGAACCGAGCAGGTACCCTCAGAGAATCAGAATGTGTCAATGATAGCGACCAGCACTGATAAACCGCGAAGTTGGGTATGGGTCATTGAATGCATGTAGTGCTTATAATACTGGCGTACCTCATCGAACTTTCTACAATGAAGACAAAGCAGCCATGCAAGTAAGATCGTACTATGTTTTACCTGCTGGCGTCAAGCCTACATGCAGCTTCTTATAACGGTACTTGTAGACTTTTACTTACATGTGCCCTCAATCTTATTATAAACTGCTCCTCGAACGTCTGAGGTTACGGCCACACCTTAGTATTAGCTGTTACTAGTGTTACCCTGCTCCCGCTTTCAGCGCTGTTACTTCTGCTACCACTGTTACCGCTCTTACCGCTGTTACCGCTGTTGACGCTGTTATCGGTGTAATGTTGCTTTCCGCTGCGATACTAGTTCCTGCTTGAGTGTTTTTAGCATTCTTGATTCTTCACCCCTGGAAAATCACGGCGAAATCCTAGTTTCTCCAAGCATTTTATCCCATTTTATCCTACAATCAAGGGCTGGAATGTTTGCTACCTACATCATTTTCCAGATCTTGGCCATCCTACGGCCTATGTCCCTATCAACCAGTTCCGGCTCATATTGGCACAGTTTTCGATGCAACAGTTGATGAGAACTGTATGGACAAAGATGGCAAAAAGGTATCTGAGTAAAAGACAACAATAATATTTCATATAACTTTTCAGCGATTTATCCCTTGTAAATTTTCTGCTGATTATTCTTGCATAGTAGTGTTTTTTGATCGAGATTATATTTTGGCTGGATGTATTAGCGATAGCGGAGTTAAACTTATAAAAGAACCGGTAGGCTGATGTTGATTCCACGCATCGATGTTCAATGTGTTTGGTAGCACATAAGAAAACGAGGTGACATGCCTTCACATTCAGTCATTAAGTATGATTGGCTGCTCTGGGTAGGGCATGCATACACTATTCACTACTTTTCATTATATTTTGGCTGGATGTATTAGTGATAGCGGCGTTAAACTTATAAAAGAACTACTATTCACTCATAAATATAATCATTACTTTAGAAGAAGCGAAAGGGAAGCTTCAGTGTGCACTTTTAGGGGGAGGACAGGCTGTGGTCGTAAAAGTCGTTTACATGGTACTCACTACTGAAGATTGTCTGTATGGTATAAGCAAAAAATGACCGCTTTCTAAACTTATGAGATTAACTGGGGTATAAAAGATCCGTCAGAGTTCACCGATGTTTCATGTTACTAGTGTTACCGCTTTTATTGCAGTTGTGTAGTGAAATGAAGTGTATGAGACTGTACTGGTGATCATTTCTTTCACTACTCAATAGCAATAAAAGCGGTAACGTTAGTAACACGAGTAACACCGGTTACACTGGTAATACTAGTAACACGGGTAACACTGGTGACATCGGCGAGCTTTGACGGATCCCCAATAACAAATATGGAACTCATTTAGAATGAGAGGACAACCACAGCTATCAGAAAATAGCCAATTAACAGGCATGGAGTACAAGTCGTAGATATCAATTTAGATTTCAAACTTACAAGGGAAAGCGTGTTTAGTCGAAGTGGCCTTTTCAGATGACACCCATACTGCTTTGAAGAGTATTACACAGTGATTCCAAATCTGCCTTTCAAAACTGCCTTCCCAATCTGCCAAGCGCCGAGTTTTGACCGTTTTTTTGAAACGAAAAATGAACGCAGAATTTAGGTACAATTAATTGTTACAATCTTTCCAGCGCTCAGATAAAGCAATGTTATGTATTAGCATATTAGACAAAATGTATCCATTTCATAAACGGCTCTGATACCTGACACTGGCCAATTTGAAGCAAATATGGGCGATTTTGCTTCAGTTTTGTGTTCAATTTTTTGACCTGAAAACGCCCATAACTCGGCGTCCAGAGGCGTTTGGCAGATTTGAAATCACCGCTTAATGCTCTGCAAGGCAGTAGGGTCTCATCTGGAAAGCCCAGTTCGACTAAACATGCTTCCCTTGTTAGATAAAGCTGTTAAAAACTAGATTATTATGGAAGATTCGGTAGTGTATTTGGATTGAAGCTGGTTTCTCTCTCTAGGACTATTAAATTCTGTTTCAGTCTCTTGAAAATGACACAGAGAAGGTCGGAGTTGAGAATATTGACCTGTACACCATTAACAGGTAGCTGTCGCAACTTCTCTGTGTGAATGCACTGCATGCGATTTTTTGCTTTAGAAAGTGCTTGAACACTCCTGGTTGTGCTCGTGCCAAAGTGTCAAGACTTGGTTCACGCTCAGTTATGATGCTTGAAGCTTGCTGCTGCAAAAGTGAACACTGCGTTAATCTGGATGCGTACGGTCCGTGTCATGTTGATTTATGAGTATTGAGCATTATCGTAAATTATTTCAGTTCATGCCGTGACCAATGCAACCGCATTAACAGACGCGGTATTTTAACACTCCAAAGCTAATTCCAATAAATTCATGGTTTTTAGAGAATACCATTCGAAGACTTGGTGCAAATGTACATTTTGGCCGTTTGCTATGCGACCTCATTAGCGACAGTAACGATCAATTTCTACCTGTCACTTTATAGTCGTTACTGCAACAGCATAATTTTGAAAAACCAGTGAATGACCTCGCTGTCCAGTTTCATTTGAAGAATATGCTGGAAATTAGTTAAAAAGCAAAACGATAAACACACACGATATATACTATGTTTTTAAGATAAAGTTTTCACACTTTTCCATGTGAGTGAAAATATTCCGAAAGGAAAGCAGAGCTTAGTTTTCTTTTGCTTGACAGCAAAAGTAGTTGCAAAAAAACCAAACCAGTACACAGTTCTAAGCATATAAGAATCAAGCTTCCGTGATATTAGCGTAAAGTCTGAGGACTACAACTTGCCCTCCGAGAACTGAACGCACTATTTTCCGCGATAAGAGGAGGAGGTGATTATGCACTGCCTTCTGTATGACATACTAACTGAGAATGAGTATAACTCTGAAGGTTTTCAGGAACTATAGTCCAACCTCTTCTCACTATAAAGCGAAGCATCGCAATATTCCCGCTAATAAATCTTGACTCTAATCTGAATCATTACATTTGATTATTTCCTGTCTTCAAAACCTTTCAGAGAGACCTCTCCGCTTTATAGCTGAGGAGGAAATGGTCAGAACTTGACCCAGATTCTCCAAACAAGCTGTATGTCATCCTCTTAAAACGCTTTTTTGAATGTATGTCTTCTATCTGCTAAGCGACTATCTGAGAATTGTTATGAGCGTACAAATCTGAGAAACTTTTCAAGTTTCGACGAATATATTTGCTTGAAAGGCCCTGATGGCGCGGATCTATAGTGGTTATGGTTACTTCCATTACACCGAAGAAGCACATTCACCAGAAATCTAAGCAAGTGTTTTGTACCTATTGAACATGCGCCAAAAAACACCTGACAAATCGCACATTTAAACGCTCATAACTCCTCCCAAATAGTCGCTTGACAGATAATAAACGTATACATGTGATAAGCGTTTTAAGACGAATCCAATGATATACAGCATGTTTGGTATGGCTGGGTTAAGTTCTGACCATTTTTGTTGAGCAAAAAATCTATTGTATTTTCAGGTAACAAATTATCTTTTTAACTGACCGTTCTGTGGGCTCGGTGGCCAAAATTTATGAGCTTTCGAGAGGATTGTTGGCGTTAAAAAACGTTTCGTGAAACACTTTAATCGAGTGTTCTTTAAGTTTAACTTGGAAATGGGTATGGTCTAAGTCGCAACATTGCACATAAAAAAGCACTCGTGAATAAGGCGGACTAAAGGTTGCCCCATTCACCTATATGAGTTAAAAAATTGTGCAAGGGACTTGTTTCTACTTGCATATAAATAAAGTATTAGGTCGTTCCGAAAGTAATGTCGCTTTTTTCAAACGTACGCCACATTTCATGGAATCAAGATTTTCGAGACTACTTAGAAGGATTCGATGCAGCATTTCATCCTCTTTCTAACGGTTACAATTGCATTGCATAATATCTAATGAGCTCTCGAAAAATTACCAAAATTTGCGACTTATGCTTTTTACCATGGTCAAGTTCGGCTAATTTTCTGAATTTTTGTACCTATTCTCCGAACAAGTACAAGTGACAGGTAGATAGAGCAAACCTTACACGACACAGAATAATTTTTTTCCTTTCCCTTAGCTTGCTTCTTAGAGTTTCTGGAACCAATTTTTCAATGCCATCAAATTCCATATTTGATCACAAACCTCACAGAACAACAACCGGCAAGCAGCTCGGGTGTCATTCGACGCTGTTTTTTCTCCTCTTTCCATTAGTTGTTTTTTGTTTCCAATTCATCAAGTTTTCCAGGATAAAATCATCTTAATTCAGGTTTTCCAGGGTGCCCCAGGCTGTACCCGAAATTTTCGAAAGTTGCTTATCTGAAGCGGTGAATGCTCATATGATTTGCAAAATTAGTGTCAAACCATAATCCAACTTTGTAAGTTTCAAAATCCGAGAATATATTGGTGTTTGATGCATTCGTGTCTGAGACGAGTCCGCTAAAATTCGGTGGTTCCATCAAAAAATCTGTACAAAAATTATTACGGGCTCAAAAGCTATGCTGTTTCCTGTAGGGTTTGCTCTATCCAACCATTACTTGGACTCCTTCCGAGGATTGTTAAAAAAATTTGGAGAAATTGTGAAACTTGGCCTTCTCAAGCATGGGATGCAGATTTTGATAATTTTTCGAAAGGTTAATGGACTTTGTGCAGTGATTATATAATTATTAGAAAGAGAATAAAATGTTGCATCAAATGCTGCCAAAATCTCTTACACATCTTCATTCCACGAGATGTGGCGTTTGTTTGAAAAAAGCGACATTACTTTCGGAACGACCTAATATTTTCTGTTCAAAACAATGAAATCAGCTTTGCAAAACCTTCTTTCGAGAAGGGGGAAGGATAGGTGCAGAAGAAAATTTCAAAAACACACCAAGTTTTTTTTCAGTGATGACGCTACCTTTTTTATTTGAAATGAAGTTTATCAACCTCTTTCCCTCTCATCCGCCTCCCTCCTCCGGAAACCGAAATCGGATCGTCATTGATAGATACTGATTTAAAATTATGGCTAAAACATGCCAGCTCTTCAAAAAGTTCTCTCTGGGCGCCTGCTTGAAAGCAGTGTATAGGCTGTTCAAAATATTGTCGAACCGCGTGCATTGACAGAAACCTGAGCGAACATCTAAAAGCGTGTAGGTCCCACTGCAAGCTTGTCGTGAGAGATTGCAGGTGTACATCCCTTCCCCGTATTTGAAGATTATTATCTTACCAGTGCGTCACCTCTGCTTCGCAGAGGTTCGCACTGGCTCTACTATCTATGTGCCTTACTCATTCTCGTAAAATCTTGGCACTGGAACTCACCGCGCTATGCCGACTACTACGAATAAAATGTAAACAACCACTCATTTAGAAAGTCTTTTCATGTGAGATCGGTGATTTCGCGTGGATGAAACTTTTCGCAGGAAGACAAACGCAAATTTGAATAGGTTTTTGGATTTGTCATGACTTGGTAGTCGCCATAAAGGTAATGATAACCGTGAGCTACATCTCTGTGCGGAAATTTTCTCAAACGCTTAGCGAACCTTGGCAAATTGACCATTTACACAACCAATTCGTTTTGGCGCCGTTTTCGTTATGTAGTAAACTTTCGACCACTTTTCTGCCTAAACTCCATCGCTTGCACATTTGCTTACCAAACTCATCCACGACTCTGCAAAAAGAGGTGACACGGACCGTATTTCGCGGTACAGAAGCCAGGTGGACCCGTTTGGCGCGCAATTTCTGAGGGATCCACTCAACGAATCCGCTCATGCTTTTGCATGGTGGAGTTTTGTGCTGGTAGCATGTGCTGTGCAAAATTTGGACCCAGGATGTTTGCTGGAACACGCTCCACGAATTTCGTAACAGACACACAAACACACACACAAAGTCACGTAAACATCCTTAGCCCGTTATTATAAGTCATGATTACGTGGCTTCCTCCGTCGAGCCCAGTCCATCGTTTACTGGGTATAACGTAGATGCTGTAGGTCGCCTGTATAGTTTGTTGCACTGCCAGAATCTCCTCCTCTACCTGTTCCTCCCCTTCCCCCCCCCTTCCTTCCCCTCCTTCTCCCTTCACGATGCATGAGCTTACTTACTTTAGAAACCACATCGATTCAACACATCTTCGTGATTATGAAATTAAAATGAGCTTTACCGCCCCCGTTTACATGACTATGGGAGATGGTCTTATAACGATTGATAGGATTTGATTTCCTTGGACACGCAAATCAATAAATTCAACAGAAAGGATAGAAGGACCCATCGAATCGTTGAAAGTAGCCTATGCTCTCCGATAGAGTCGAAAACATATATGCAAATTTCGGCTAGATTGGTCCACGCGCGAAAAAGGCTGAAAGAGCATACATAGCACGCACATTTAAAAAAACCTCCTTTCTTCCGGAATTCAGCAGGAGTGATAGTAATTTGGTCGAAACCATCGAATGATGTGATGGTTCAATCGTGACTACATCGTGGTAAACATGATCATCTTCTCACTGCCACTCAGTTTAATCGGTCACACAAAATCATGAAACAAGCAAGTAAGCAGCATGCTACCATGAATTTTCCGTGGTCATTTCATTCTAAACCAAACTACGAGGTTTCCCGCAGGTCAACATCATTGTTTTGTTTTTAGATAGAGTAATGAAAATAGCAGTTAATTTTATGACACGCAGACATGAAACCATCATATCATCAATTGAAGTGAAAAAAGTACCCCTGACCACTTTTCATTTGAAACCAATATGTGGTGGTTTCATAAGTTAAGAGAAGTGAGGGAGATCATTCTGAAAGTCACCATGAGAAGGCTCTTTTGTTTATAGCTTAGATAAGGTTATGAGAGAAAGTAAAGATAAAGACACTGCAAATTTGGTACAGTGCAATGAAAGTGGTCAGACATGAGAGTGAATGGAAGTCTAATTCCCTTCAATGGCATCCCTTTGCTAAATCTAAAATTGGGCAAAAACTTGCCCATCGGTTAACTCTGGTTTCATTGAATAGATGATGTAAAGCTGCTGGTTATCTCGTGCTATGAAATCTAGTCGAATGATGGTTTCGCCCAAATTACTACTACTCCAGATATATGCAGGTGGCAAACAGCGGACCGGCAATGCAGCGATGTCGGGCGCGGGAGGCATGATTAGCCACCCGCTAAGGGTACTCTCAGGGCCCGGCAGGAGTCCGTGTCCGGAGTTTCCCAAAACAAACTCTCCTCTGTTTTCGGTAAAATTTTACGAAGTCCCTTTTGACGCTTATCGAAATCTTATTGCTTTTCGTTATTTTGTTTACATGTACCGTAAAGACTGGACCTATAGTTGAGAAACAAGACATACATTTGAGTAGATTTCCTGCTTAAT